ATACAGCACTCTACTACACACACACGTTCATACAGCACTCTACTACATCTCTACAAATATAATCTGAAACTGTAAAGACTAGTCAGAGCTTTATCACATTCAAACATTGATGGGACACACATCAAAGGCAATGAGGGGTTCAGTGTCTTGCACAGGGACACTTCAACATGTGACTGCTGGTGGAATCGAACCCCCATCTCTCCCATTGGAGGACGACTGCTTTAACCACTCAGCCACTGCTGCCCCAAAGAATAACAGAACTGTACAAAAATGTATGGAACTCAATACAATGTTCTAATATAGTCAGAAATGTGTGTGTGTGTTGGTAAAAGAGCGAGAGAATACCTCGTAGAGACAGGCTTGATGAAAAGGCTGACCACAGCGGGGGTCATTACACACTTGGTCCGGGACAGACGTCTCAAGACGATACGAGTAACAGATGCCACACTCCGCGCTGAAACTCTACACACACACACACACACACAGTTATACATCAGCAGGTTCTGTTCCACCATCATTCATGTGTATATATCATAATGTTGTAAATCTCTGGGACAGTACGCACGACAACGTATTTTGTGAAAACTGGTACACAAAAAATTTTTTTCACCCAAATCCCGGTCAGGGGGCCTTTCAGCATGGAGTTTTCATGTTCTCTCTGTGTTGCATGGGTTTTCTCCCACAGACCAAAAACATGCAGGATGATTGGTAACTCTAAATTGTTCCTAGGTGTGAGTGAGAGAGTGAATGGTTGTTTGCCTCGTTTATCTCTGTGTCCCTGTGAAGGACTGGAGACCTGTCCAGGGCGTCCCCCACCTCTCCCACAGTGACTGCTGGATATGGGCACCAGTGACCCATAAAGGAAAAAGTGATTAAAAATGGATGGATTTTTCTGTTTTTCCACATTTGATGGACTTGTTGATATTTTGGGCTCTTAATTAATGGATTATCACTCAAAGTTTTATTGTATTCTTTCAGATTTGTTAGCAAAAAAAGGCACATTTTTAATCACTTAAAAACATCTATAGCTTTCTTTTTCATGTTCACAGCTGAACTCTGGCTAGCAGCCACCAATAACCAGTTCAATAAAACCTACAGGTTTTAGTCTTACTGCTGAAAGTTATAACATGTTTGTAACTCAAAAAACAAAAGTTTAGACTGGTGGTCCTCGAGGGCCCCTACCCTGCATGTTTAAGATGTTTTTCTACTTTAACACACCTGGTTTGAATAAATGAATGATAACTTGGCAACCTGCAGGGAAAGCTGTAAAACGTGCAGGACAGTGGCCCTCGAGGACCAGGACTGAAGACCACCGGTTGACACCAAACCTTCTTGCTGTACTGAGCAGGTGATTGTGACTGCGTCCACACAGAAAAGACATTTGGAGTTTTTTTAATGGGTTTTGAGATCGTCTTGAAACATCACTCGTGTGTTTTCATACAGTTAACCAAAAAGTAAACATTTGAATATGTCATAGTTCCTCCGCTAATCTAACCTACGATCCAAAAGCGCTGTCTTCTTCTTCTTGGGTTTGTGTTTTGTACATAATGTGTAAGTTTTATGCGAATTGTTTACACCTTGTTTTTTGTTTTGGGACAGCTTCAGTGTCGCACAGCCCCGGCGTAGTTACAGCATTTCACGTGTTTCAGTGTGGATGAAGACGTTGCTACAAACGATGCAGTGTTTACAATGATGATTTTAGAGATCATTTTTGAAAAACTGCATTTCTGTGTGGACAAGGCATCTGTGACCATTGAATGTTAAACTGGTTTCCAGCAGTCTGAACACTTTAACACACACTGTCTCTGCTTCTTTGCATTTTATAGTAATGACAAGCTTTTTTTTTTTTTTTTTTATATATTTTGCCTGTAGCCATCCATTAAGAGAGGATAACAGGTAAAAAAAAAAAAAAAAAAAATCAACATCTGGCCAACCCAACTTTTCTGCACTCTGCTGAATGTTAATGAAGCCGAGGCATTAATCACTGCGGCGACAGCAGATAAACAAAACAGCCTTTCAACCCATCTGCAGTGAAGGTAGCAGAGAAAAATGAGTGTTTTAAAAAAAAAAAGATAAATGGTTCTGAGTGATTAAAGCGGTTCGATAAAAAAACTGAATTCTGCTATCTTTGTTATTCTAATGATTTTTTTGGTAAACAACCCAATTAAAAGAGCACCTCTTAGAAAAAACCCCCACACACACAGAGAGAGAAATATGGAAATGGACAGAGAAATAGGCAGCGGTGTATATCCGCCCCCTTCTAAGTTCAAACGTATACAGAGGATGTAAACACCAGTGTGACTCCTTGAGCTATCCGTGATGAGAGTGGATGTGTTTGAAATGGAAAAGGTGAAACTGGGTGACATACAGATTTTTCGTGGGTGGCCGATGACGGGAATTCGATCTCCAAAACATCTCGAAGGTTGTGCAAGACGCTGGTGTCCGGGTTCCTGCCAGCAGACCACAGACAGCTCCTTCACACACTAATTAACCACATGCAAATGAGCCTGCAAAGACACTGGGGGATGATCAGGACTCTCACCATGGCTACAGCCACACAACAAGAAAATAAAACGCACAGAAAGTTGTTTTCTGAACAGTGTCATGCAGCGATGCAAATGTTAAAATCCTGTGGTGAAAAGCAAATCAGAATGAGCAATCATGAGTTTGTCACATTGGTAAAAAATACAAAAAAAACAATCAGATTTTTTTTCCCCTGAGCAGTTGGTTTTTAATTTTAACAATATTCTGCTGGATTTACAGACAATCACAAATACCATACCATTTATTTATAAAGCACTTAAAACAGCAGCAAGGCCAACCAAAGTGATGCACAGCAAAAACAAACAAGCAACAAACAGCATAAAATACATAGATCCACAGAGGTAAAGATAAGAACTAAATGACTAAAATTGTAAAATACTGACGAGTTAAAATCATCTCACACAGTCAAAAGCCAGGGAATAAAAGAGTATTTTTAAACGAGACTTTTAAAAACGATGAGAGAGGGAGCCTGTCTTCAGTGGTAACTCATTTCACAGTGTTGAACCTGCAGCAGAGAAAGTCCTGTCACCTCTGAGATTAGAATGAGTGCCGGGAACTAATAGAAGCATGTGGTCTGCTGACGTCAAAGAGCGCTGTGGGACATATGGCTGCAGCAGATCAGTGAGATAGGAGGGGGCAGAACTGTTCAGAGATTAAAAAACATACAGAAAGATTTTAAAACAAATTCATAAGTGAACAGGGATCCAGTGAAGGGAGGCCAGGACTGGAGTAATGTGCTCTCTTTTGCCTGTACCAGTTAAAAATTGGGCTGCAGCATTTTGAACCAGTTGCAAACGTGCAATAGAGGTCTGACTGATTCCAAAAAGAAGTGCATTGCAGCAATCAAGCCTGGATGTCATGAAAGCATATATTACTGTCTCAAGTTAGTTTTAGACAGTATGGGCTTCAATTTAGACAGTTGCCTCAACTGAACCCCCGCCCCCACCACCACCAACAACAGGATTTAACGATCATGTTTACATGACTGTTTAGTTTCATGGAAGGGGTCCATTTTCACTCCCAGATTAGTGACAACTTGTTTCTCTAACGGGGCAAGAAAGGCAATGTTGATACAGTGTTTCCTGATTGTGTCATTAAGTGGAAACAACATGACTTCTGTCTTCTTCTCCTTAAAGTTTAAGAAATTTAAAGCCATTCAATCCCTGAGGTGTGCTTCAGAGGGAAGAAAGTTTGACAGTCAGCATAAAAATGAAAAGGGATGCTGTGTTTATGAAAAATAGCACCTAGTGGTAGCAGGTATAAAGAAAAGAGAAGAGGTCTGAGAACGGAGCCCTGTGGTACCCCCCCCCCCCCCCACACCCACCACCGAAGAGCTGCCAATGTTGAAATAAAATCCTTGATCTAAAAAAAGTTAAATCTGGTCCTCTGGACATTCAAAAAAAAATAAACAAAGCAAATCAACAATTGATTGTCGTTGATTTGCTTTGTTTTGTTTTTTTTGAATGTCCAGAGGACCAGATTTAACTTTTTTTAGATTTTTCTACCTGGATTATTGAGCATGCATCAGGAAAATCCTTGATGTTGACACAAAAGGTTCTATCGGAGAGGTAGGCACTAAACCATTTGAGAGCCGACCCTGTAATGCCCACTCACTGCTCCAGTCTAGAAAACATATCAACCAACATACAAAAAAAATAATAATAATTGAGGGCTTACACAACAAACTGGTTCCAGTGCTTGATAAGGGACATTGCTTCAGCAGGTTTTATTAAACGTCTCACTTAAACCTTTGCAACTGTGGAAGATGAACTGATGAATTAAAACAGCGAGTAAATACGCACATTTTCAGTTGCAGCTTCACTGATTTCTTAGTGTTTTGAGGGACCAGAAAGACATGCAGACACATTTTGCACAGTCAAGTTTTTAAAAACCACAACCTGTTTTTGTGTGCACAACTTGTGGAACTACATTCCTGGCCATGCACACTATTTTATTGTCTACCCCGCCTATATTGTACCAGCCTTGGCTACTTAGTACACATTTGCAGCCAGTCTGTTTACACTGGGAACACTGCACCATTTGGCATCATGGTGTGCACCACATTGTGTACCACATGGACCACAGAAAGATAAGGAGAGTTGTTCCAGGAGCTTCAAAAGAAAATTATTGATATGTTAAATGTAAAGGCCATTTCCAAGCCATTTGATGTTTTAGTGATTACAGCTTTACAGACTGAGGGGTTTAAGGCCCAAAAGACTGTAGATTACCTCTGGACGTGGCTACACGAGTAAAACTAATGACAAAGTAGAATGACGGATGGTAACCAAAAAACCTAGAACAACTTCCAAAGACATTAGAGCTTCAAGGTATATCAGGTTCAGATTTATCATCGGTCGCAGTTTGAGATGAAATGGATTCAATGGAAGATGACAGAAGGGAACAGACGTCTCATAGAATTAAAAATCCAATTGATTGCAGGGATTGCCTCAAAAGGTTGTGCAACAACATATTAAGTTGGAGTGCAGCCATGTGAGCTGCAGCTGGAGGGGGTTAAATGCCTTGCTCAAGGGCCAACAGTGGGGCAGATGTGGGTGCTTCGCCTTTAACACCTAAATTGTAATGTTACAATCCAGGGATTCCAACTCCCAATCCCAATCTCTGCACCATCTCCCCCTTTCTCTTGACAATATTTACCATTTCAACTTTCCATTTAATGGATTACTAATTGCTTAAAGGCCAACACGCATTTTTCTTATATTTTAGCTGAAACTGAAAGGAAAACAGATCGGTAACATTAGTAGCTGCATAAAATAATCACCAAGAACCAATGAGAGGAACTAATACAGTACAATACATTTTTACGATGAAACAAACTAAATTTAGGTACAGAAGATAAAAAATAAAAAAATGTACTCACCATATGTGCATGTTGGCATTCAGTTTGTTCCTCAGCGGTGTCACCACTGCAACAGAACAAAAAACATGCTGGATGTAAGGTTGTGTGTTGTCAACCGGTGCTGGGCCTTCAGATGGACTTTATGTTGTTGCAAACTTCAAGGACATGATAACACCATCGTTTATTATCTCAGCTGACACCAAGCTTCACAGTTTTGATGTTTGCTACAAAGAACATGCTCTCTCCGTTTTCATAACAGAACAATGACTAACCTGTTTAAATAAAGGTTGAATGAATGAATCTGAACACAACTGGGAAAAAGTCCACTCTCTTCTGTCCCAGCATCATCCAACAGCCTCACAAAAAACAATGTGCTCAATCGCTATGGTGCATTTAAGGGCAACTTGTAGTTTCAATCATTCAGACTGACAGTAACCCACATTAACTTGTATCTGTAAAATTTCAACATATAATAAAACTTTAGTATTGAAATTTTCATGTGAATCTAAATGGGATATTCATCATTTTTTAGAGCAACAATTTCAGAGTGGATTGGTTACTGTAGACATCACAAAACTTCACAGGGTCAAAAGAAAAAAATGTATAGAAGAAATAAAAAAATCCAGTCTTGGTAATGATTTGTCCATAGCAGAAAAAAACTCAGGCAGCTTCAACAATACACTGTATTCATTTTCAGCAGTCTGAAAACAAAATTAAAAAGTCTAGTAGAAAAATGAATCATGTACGAGTAGTGCTGGCAACGGTCCAATTTAAAATATCTTCATTTTTTGTCGGTTCCACTGCTGGAGTTGGTCTTCCTGTTTGGAAACATCACCTCAAATGGAGTGATGCTAACAAGCTAGCCACTTCAGCTTTGAACACCAACAGGTAATGCGGTCACAGGATGGCCTGCTGGGGATTCCTGAAGGCCTATGGCTGCGTGTTGTGGTCCCACCCACTCTACATCAGCATCGTGATTGGTCAGATTTCCTGTCAGTTACTGATCAAACTCGTTATGGAACTAAAACCTTCTCGAGACTTACAAGTCCTAACCAATGTGAGCTCCTTCAAACGTTTCTGTCTGAAGAAAGGTTTAAAGTATCTGAATGGATAACTATATGTTCATGATTTACTGAAAATAAGAAAAAATAGCTAAATATAACTGCAATAATATATTTTATATAAAATAAATAAAATAGAATGTAACATTAGCGCTGAATTGTCTGAAGGCCCTGTGGGCTCCTCATGTGAAACCTCTGCAGGTGGTTCAGTATTGTTTATAGGCTTTCAGAAAATCAACCAGTCTGAAGAGCGGCACTCTGCGTGTCTTCCAGCGCTGTGTTTTGTTTGAAGCAGGACTTACACCACCATCACAGCTGAAGCGTGGCTGGTTGATGTTCCACCAGAACACTCATCTCTGTACGTCATGTTCAAATGTTGTTCCTACATACAAAAAGCAATATGTCTGTGAAACCTTCTGATATGAAGGTGACCGCCTGCTTCTTGTCTCAGTGGATCAACTGTGCATGCGTTTATTATCTTTTGCGTTGCATTGCTAGGCAACAGATGAGGAGTTGTGTGACCTCGGGTTCACAGAAACGATGGTCGACAATTGACAGGAACTCAAATAGAAATGTGAGGCTTGGAGCTCTGCGGCCGGGTGCAGAGTCACAGCAGTGAGGATGGAAAGGGTTTCCGACACAACAAATAACTGTTAGCACAAAACAACAAACACATAGTTGTTACAACACAACTGTCAGCATCACCTGTTCAAAGACAACCGTGAACACACAACACTAGGGTCTTCCATCCATCCATGACCTGCTTGTTCCAAAGTCGGGTCTCGGGGGCAGCATCTTGAGCAGGGAGGTCCAGACATCTCTTTCCACAGCCACCTCTTCCAGCTCTTCTGGGAGGACTCCAAGGTGTTTCCAGGCCAAATCTCTCCAGTGTGTCCGGGGTCTCCTCCCAGTCAGACATGCCCAAAGCACCTCACTGGGAGGCGCCCAGAGAGCACCTCTCAATGACACTAGGGTCTTTTGACATTTATTTTTTCAACTTCAGTGTTTCCCTTAAACATTCTTATTTTTCTAAATACCACATTTTATTCTGCAACTACATATTTTCACGTACAATGTCATATAGAGCAGGGGTGATAGCTCCACTGATCACGATTGGCTGGGTTAGATCTCAATTTGGTTTCTAGTCGAATGTGAGATTCAGAGAAAATAATTTTTAAAAACTCTACAGCATTATTTTATGGCTGCATTCTGTAAGCCTACCCAACTAGATGCACTTAAACTGTCCTCAACAGCAGCAAAGAAAGGAAAATGGGTGTTTCCATCAGCTACCTGTCGAACTGGGGGTGGCATTCCTGTCGTTGCCTAGCAACAGAGGGTACCTGTGTAGGCACCTGTGTGAGAGCAGTGAGTGACAGTTGATGAGTAGCTCATCGGTCTTTAAAAACAACTGACACACAAGCTAAGAAGCGAACAAAGAAGTACTTTCACCCGTATGTCAGCTTAAAAAAGAAGAAGTTTTTCTTGAATGGGAAGTCTTATTTAAGCATTATGACCATTGTTTACATCTGCCACATCGTGGTGAAACCAAGATGGCAAAACACACATGCCTACATCTGACAGCTGTTTAGTTAACAGCAAACCCAACAGGATCTGTGTCACCAATTATGTTTTAATACCTTTACAATAACTTAATGTACGTCATAAAGTTAATTTCAAACATCATGTAAAACAGATGTTATATAAGGAAAATATATTAATGATGATAAAAACTAGACTTGAAGTCAGTTAATAATCAACGACTTCCAATAATTCCAAGCTGGCTGAATAATTGTGACTTAAATTTGTAGATGAATGTGAAGCTAACTTTTTAACATGTGAATAGTTTTATTGTGTTGCTGTGCTGTGTGGAAACACTCTGAACTGTTGTCTGAGGATGTTCCCACCGTGTTCAGCTCCAAGCAGGCAGCACTCCGGCAGCATCTTGGGGTGTCTGGGGTCCACGTCCACCCTGATGGACACGTTGTCTCCTGCACACGTGTAAACACATGCACATGTTACAGTTTTACAAGACCTCTTTAGTGTCTGAAGTTCAGTTGTGTAATCCACATTAACTCAAGATTAAAATTAACTTTGAGCTGTCCACAGGTTTAAGAAAAGTCATTATTATTAAAATAATACACCTTAGCATTAGTGATAGCATTTTCAGGCTTAAAAATATATCTCTGAGTGTTTCCAGAGTAAAATGTCAAAACTTATAACCAATGGATTATTTAATTCTCTGCAGTTTTCCCTTCACACATGTGGGGCAGAGGTGCCCAGGGAGCTACTAGGGCAGGCATGGGCAAACCCCGGCCAGCGAGCCATATACATATAGTATGCATATAGTTGGGCATTTTAATTGGCCCGCCGAAATTGTCCAAAATTTGAAAAATAAATAATTTTTTTTTTCCAAACTTTGAACAATTTCGGCCAAATAATATATATATATATATATTTTTTCCACTTTATTTTTCAGGGGTGCTGAGGTAAAATTTAGGGGTGCTTAAGCACCCCTAAAAAGAGGTTAAAATCGCCACTGGTTCAAATTATATTTAAAAAACTGAATTTAATAGGGAAAAAAACCTGGTGTTGTTTTACCTGTAGTTCCAGCATTTCCCCAGTAGAGGCGCACTACAGACACTGGCGTGTATTATGGTCCGGCACTTCACTCCAGTTTTAGAACTCAATGTGGCCCATGAGTCCGAAAGTTTGCCCACCCCTGTACTAGGGGGTTAAGGGCCTTGCTCAAAGGCCCAAAGTGGGACAAATGAGGGTGGAGGGAGGTGTGGGTGCTTCACCTTTCCCACCCACATATTTGTTGTCCATTTGGGAATTTGAACCAGCGACCTTCCTCTCCTTTCATAATAATAAGAATCACATTATAGTTAGGGCAGCCGACTTGGGACCAGAAAGTTGCGGATTGATTCCCTGCCATTCCCACATCATGGTGTATTTGAGCAAGACACCCAATCCCTAATTGCTCCCCGAGCGCTCAATAGCTGCCCACTGCTCCACCTGGGTGTATCCCAGGTGCGATGGGTTAAATGCAGAGAACTAATGTCGTCACTGTGTTATACATACAATGATGACAACACACAGCACATGTTATTTTATCTCTGCAATACCTTATTCCTGAATAATAATAAAAACTGTTTATTCTTTATTGTCTACTCTTTATTTATTGTTTATTCTTTAATTTTTTTCAAAGGCAGCAAATAGAAATTCAGATTTTTATTTGCCTCTGAATGCAGCACTGACGCACCTCAAAATAAAAACTGAAAGAAGTTGAATGGAGCTCCGGTGAAGCTCGGGGTTTGTGGACTGATCTGAGTGTGATCAGACGTCAGCGTTACATTCGGTTCATTTCTTACGGGTTGTACAAAACTCACTGAACAACGTGAACATGTAGAAATAGTTCTCTTTAAGTCTCTTCACTCGGTACAACACATGAAGGACGGGACATGACCTGGCCTTAGAAGCCTCTTTGACTCATGCTAACGGCGCTCTCCACTCATGTCATAGGACACTCGTCCCAGGACTCCAGCTGCCTAAGAACTGTACTGTACAAACACTGTAGAGGTATCAATCAGTGTGCCTTTAGTCATATTTAAGCTTAAAGAAAGTTGAATAAATTGCATCAAATTCCCCTGAGAGCACCACACAACACTGTTCCTACAGTACCTGTAAGTGATGGAAGGGGCATTATACGTCCCTTTTCCAAGTTGAATACGCTGCCAGAGAAGTGTGATCAGTGGACTCGAGCAATGGTCCGAGATAAATTTGGCCAGGACAAAGTGAAACCGTGGACTTATGTCTGCTCCAAACATTTCAGCACAGGGCCACCGTGATCCAGTCTCTAAACAGGTCCAGTAAACTTGATCATTTTCTCTTTGGACTGGTAGCTTTACTTCCGTAGCATCCATTCTACTCCAGCCTTGCGCTCAATTAGGTTATGTTTACATCAGCTGCACAGCAGGGCTCAGTGAAGAAGCTATGGAAATGAAGAGTGTTGACAGATGGATATATAGTGCGGCCATCACTTGGAGTCATTACGTCATTTGCCTGAAGGTGTGACTAGAGATAGCCACACTTCACGTGTTGCACCGTGTTCCTCTTCTTCAGGGAACAATAATTATATGTATCATGATACACTGAAGTTTGACCGGATTGATGAGCTAACAGCAAGTCTGAGTTACCAAATAACTTTGAAAAAGGAGTGAAGGAAGCCATCTTTGTGAAGAGGAACCATCCATCATTAAACAGGGGCGGAGCCTCCATGTCCAACTGTCCCCCTCTTACAATGCTGTTATTGCTAGTATCACTCAGCCCCCTGTGAATAGCAAACAGCCATCAGGACACTAACAATCAGTTGTTATGTTGATGGTCCTCCTTTATCATGTGAACAACTAGTTCTGGATGTTAACAACAAACTGGTTGAAGGTGCCATTTATTTATACGACTGAGTTTGTTGCAGCTCCTCAGACTGAAGAAGTCTTTTGGAAATGGACAAAATGTTTCAAGAAGAAGAATCTGTCCAGACGACCTGACTCAACCTTGTTAGACCAAAGTTATTGTTGCTATAAAACAGCTCTGATCGCAATGATTTATAGAAGTTAATGCAAATGATGTTTTTGTTTAGGACAGTGTTTTTTTAACAAGTAAAATATTGTTTGAAAAGATAAATCAATTAAATTTGGTTAGTGGAGCATTATAGTACTAAAGCTACGCCTGAACTGCTTGTCCCGTTATTCCCGTCTGGAAGTAGTGGAACTGTCGGCTGCATTGGGGGAGGGGGTGTAGGCAGGGCACTTGGTTCTGTTGACAGGGTGGGGTGCCCTCCTTTGATAAAAGCAAGGGAGAGGCTGGACTTTTCATAGAACGCCTATTCAAAATGTCCAGGCTGTAACTTCAACTGGGCCGACTGCCTCTTATGTTATTTGTAAATCAGTAATGTGCTGATTAGGCCTAAAACAGAAATGTGTTATTAAAAAAGCATCATGTGAAATGAATGTTGGTAAGAGGTTTTGGTTTTACTGATGGCAATCTGCCTCATGGTGTCGGAGCGGCTGGGCTTTTCTGGCTCCAGAACCCAGGTCTTCCTGTCGATTTCATCCAGGACGTCCCAGAACTCAGCGAGGGACTCCAGAACCAGCAGGAACTGACTGTGGAGCTGATCCAGAGTGCTCTAAGAAAACAGAAGTGCAGCAGTCAAACAGATATAAACATCAAGTCTTATCTTTTGTGCAGAACAAAAACAAATCAGGTGAACAAATGAAGCTTTCCTACAGTTTAGACCTAAAAACAGAAGCTGGACATGTTTGGGATGAACTCATTTGGTTTATTTCTGCAGGTTAGATGCTTATGTGGTCATCTTTGTTTAGTATCAGCAGAAGAAGAATCAAGTACTGAAGCTCAGTTTGGTCCAAAACAGAACAAAAAGACAGGTCAGATTACAACTATCACAATATGAATATTTCAGATTTTGCAACATAACCTTCACTGAGCTGGAACACCACCAGACTGCTTCATCTGCCAGAGTCATCACAAGAAGGAAGAAATGAAACTAAAGTCCAGTCACCACAGAAACCCAAGAAATATTCATAAATTAAAGGATCACCAGATTATTCACTGCTGTTTTATCAGGATTATCTTTAGCAAGAACAATTAAATCTGTGCAAAAACAAATTAAAAAAGTTTGAGCTGAGGCAGAAATACTTTTTATTTGTGAAAGACAGTATTTTATCACAGTATTGGGGTCTTAGAATGGGAGTGGAGCAGAGGATAGAGGTGGGTCTGTATTCAGAAGATTGCTGGTTCAACTCCCCAGATATTCAGCATTAAAATGTGGGTGGGATAGATGAAATGATGATATCATGATATCATCAGCTCGCTGCAGAACAAACACCCCGAGGCTCTGTACGTGGTAGCCGGAGACTTTAACCACGTGAATCTAAAGGACTGTCTCCCAAGCTTTAATCAACATGTGACGATTCCGACACGTGGAGACCGCACGCTGGACCGTGTTTACACGAACGTAAAAGATGCATACAAAGCCGAACCCCGCCCCCACCTAGGACTGTCAGACCACATCTCAATCTTCCTGGCTCCTGCTTACATGCCCCCGCTGAGACGCTCCAGACCGGTACAAAAGGAAGTTAAATGCTGGATCCAGGACAGTGGCCCCATACTGAGAGATTGTTTTAATCGAACAGACTGGCAGGTTTTCAGAGAAGCTGCTGAAAATGGAGGTTCGCTTGATCTTGACCAATACACATCCTCAGTACTGGGTTACATTAGTACATGTACTGACACAGTCTCCACTATCAGAAATGTTAAAAGCTACCCAAACAGAAAACCTTGGCTGAATGCAGAGGTGTGCACCCTGCTGGAAGTCAGGAACACTGCCTTCAGGTCTGGAAACTCAGAGGAGCTGAGTAGGACAAGAAAAGAGCTGGTTGCTGGTATTAAGAGGGCCAAGGGCACATATGCAAAGAGGATCGAGGGTCAATTCATCTCACAAGACCCTCAGAGCATGTGGAGGGGCATTAAGTGCATAACAGATTATAAAGGAAGGAGTGAACAATGCCCCAAAGACCCATCTCTGCCTGATGCCCTCAACAAGTTCTATGCACGCTTTGAAGACCCGAACAGACCACCCAGCACCAGACTCACCTCGCCACCGGATGAAGAGCATCTCAGCGTGACCTCAGCAGAAGTAAGGAGTACCTTCAGGAGGATTAATCAGCACAAAGCAACTGGCCCAGACAACATCCCCGGAAAAGTATTGAAGGAATGTGCTGATCAGCTCTGTGAGGTGCTGGCAGACATCTTTAACACCTCACTTACCCTGGAGACAGTTCCCACCTGCCTGAAGACTGCCACCATCATCCCAGTCCCAAAAAGCTCTACAGTGACTGGTCTGAATGACTATCGGCCAGTGGCCCTCACCCCGATAGTCGCTAAATGCTTCGAAAAACTGGTCATGACTCACATCAAAACAACCATCAACATCAACGAGGACCCTCATCAGTATGCATACCGTGAGAACCGATCAACAGAGGATGCAATCTCCTCTGTGGTCCACACTGCGCTCAACCACCTGGAGCAGAAAAACTCTTACGTCCGTATGCTCTTTGTGGACTTCACATCCGCCTTCAACACCATGATCCCCCAAACCCTGATGGACAAACTATCCACACTAGGACTAAGCCCCTCCATCTGCAACTGGGTACTAGACTTTTTAACAAACAGACCACAGTTAGTGAGGATCCACAACCTCTCCTCCTCCACCATAACCCTCAGCACTGGCTCTCCTCAGGGATGTGTGTTGAGCCCCCTCCTGTTTACTCTGCTCACATATGATTGTGCAGCTACCCATCCAGGCTGTCACATTGTAAAGTTTGCAGATGACACAGCGGTGGTGGGATGCATCACAAACAATGATGAGTCCAGCTACAGGCAAGAGGTGGAACACCTGGAGAGCTGGTGCAGAGAGAATAACCTTCACATCAATGTGAAGAAGACAAAGGAGATGATTGTGGACTTCAGAAGGAACAAAAACACCTACACCCCCCTGAACATAAGAGGATCTGCGGTGGAAGTGGTCTCCAGCTACAAGTACTTGGGTGTACACATGAATGACAACCTCAGCTGGAGCAACACCACCACCAGCCTGATCAAGAAAGCTCATCAGAGACTCTACTTCCTCAGACGGCTGAGACGAGCTGGTCTGGGAAGCTCAGTCCTCACCTCCTTCTACAGGTGTGCAGTGGAGAGCATCCTGTGCTCCAGCATCAACGTGTGGCATGGAGGCTGCACAGCTGCAGAAAGAAAAGCTTTGCAGAGAGTGGTGAAGGCTGCACAGAAATCTGTCGGAATCAGCCTCCCCACCATCACAGACATCTACACCTCCAGATGCAGGAAGAGGGCCACCTGCATCATGAAGGACCCCACTCACCCAGCACACAAACTTTTTGCCCCACTCCCCTCAGGAAGGAGGTTGAGGAGCATTAAGTGTAGAACCACTAGACTGAGGAACAGCTTCTACCCTGAGGCTGTTAGACTCATGAATCTCTAACTAGAATAATCACTGTGAAAAACCATATCATGTTGCTGCTGATCTGTTTCATGTTGCTGCTGATCTGTTTCAATGTTGATGTGTTCATGCGTGCACATCTGCTCACAGACTCATGTTCATGTTTGTGCTGATGTTCAATGTTTTATGTTATGAGTGCTTAGTGTATATTTAGTTAATGTTTTTCTTAGTTCATATCTTAGATGTTATTACTGTTTTTCTTAGACATTTTATTGTTGGATGTAACTGGGACCCCGTGTACATAATTTCGCTCCACCACATGTACCACATGAGGTGCGAATGAAAATAAAGAAACTCTGACTCTGAAACACCTTCACCTGTCTCCACCCTTATTTGCCCAATTCTGGGCCCTTGAGCAAGACCCTTACCCCCCCCCCCCCCCCCCCATCTGCTCCCCTGGGTGCTCCAGATAGCAGCTCTGCTCCACGCAGAGGGCTGTGGTTAAGTCAGGATATCCGGCGTAAAAACAATCGGCAAGTCTCCGTACAAGTTAGTTTGCTGTGGTGACCCCTGAAGAAGGGTGCAGACGAAAGAAGAAGAAACAAGTGAGTCTTAGTGTTTTAACCTCAATAATATGTGTTCTTAAAGTGATTGTTCTGCTTGGGATGTCAAAGTTTGTAATTTTAAAAAAGTGTGGTTTACTAATGTTATAGAGATGTGATGTGCTTTAAGTTTAATGTTTTAATTTTTATTAACTCTTTAATCTTCAAACTGTTGGTGTTTGTTTTCAGTCTCCTGTTCTTCAATGTCATTCCAACAGCAGGATGTCTCTCGTCCGTCTTCTCTGACATGTGGGCACACAGTTTTGCACGATTTCAACCAAACAAATCCTCAAATGTACATGCTGGACGTACCCCTCAGATAAACCCACCTGGACCGTTATTACTCAACGTTTGCACCACATGGCAAACTTTATCTCCAAGAAAGAGAAAAACTATTCTCTGGTTGTCGTTACTTTGATCCTGGTCACGTGCTGGTTGACCAGTATGGAGTGGACTCTTTCTCTACACCACCTAATGGTCATGAAAACGCAGTTTGTTTCACAGTGACGTATGGCATCGGCATATGGCAACAAATGAAAAAAAAAGAAAAGACAAACGCACTGGTACAAGTCACATACGTTAGGTATAATGTTGAATAAGTTATCAGGACACTGGTATACGATGGCCAGTCAATAATTCTTCTACAAGCACAAAAGTTTCAGCATACGTCAATGAGTTGCTCATGAGTTAGGCATAAGTTACCGAATGGGACAAGTAACTTATGCATAAGTACACACAAATTACATGTGTTACATGTGTTGACATGTGCCAGAGACCATCTGAGTAATTGTGTAGTGAACGCACAACTTATTTCTTTTAAAGGCGAAGATATCATACAATGTGTAGAGCTTAGAGTCTGTGTTGTGAATGACTCTGCTACTACCACATGAAACTTTAGCTCAATATTTGTCAAACTGACAGAGCAAAAGCCATATGTTGATTAGCTGTGGCAGCATTTTACAAAAGTGAATCAGTGGTAGATGTTCCTACACTCACCTATGGTCACAAGCTCTGGGGAGAGACTGAAAGAATGAGATCTTAGATACAGGCAGTTGAAATGAGTTTCCTCTGCAGGGTAGCTGGACTCTCCCTTAAAAAATCGGGTGAGAAGTTCAGTTATAAGGAGAGATTTGGAGTAGAACCACTGCTCCTCCACATCGAGAGGAGCCAGTTGAGGTGGTTCAGGCATCTGGTAAAGATGCGTCCTGGGCGCCTTCCTAGGGAGGTGCCCAGGAAGCATATATCATTACATTATGCAATATATACAAAGGTTTGTCATTCAAAAACTATTTTACTTTATACATTAATGCAAATTATTTTGCTATTTTTATTCTCAAGTAATTTACATGAGATTTCCATGTTAGCATGTCATCCATAACAACACCCAAATATTTTATTTCATTAACTCTATGAATTTCAATACTGTCAGTTCTAAATGGGACTTTGATAATTTTCTTTCTATTACTAAATATCATGTAGTTTTTTCCAACTTTAATGATAACTTATTAAGTTGGAACAAAGTTTGTATTTTTACGAATTCTGCCTGTA